CCACTGGATTAGCATTCTTATAGCTCTTTATTAAATTAAGCTGATGAAAATGTACAATTGCAAAAGATCTCATGTCTTCTATCACATCAGTATTACTTGTCATACTAATATTATAAATGCGAAAATTTAGATAGATGGATGGATGGATGTTTGTTAGAATTTGTAGCTTAAACGGCTGAATGGATTTCCATGAAATTTGTTTTAGATTTAGAGGATAGCCTGGAAGAACACATAGGCTCACTTTTGTTTTTTTTAATCCACTCGCACGGAGTCGCGGGCGAAAGCTAGTGTGGTAATAAAGATATTATTGTACGATTTTTTTGTCACGTGGCCAATAAAAATATCAATATATTTTAATTTTTTTAGCAATTTTTTTTGTAACGCGAAATTCTAATTTCAATATTTTCCTTCATTAAAGCGTTTATCTTCTTAAAGGCTTTTTAACAGTTTAATATTAAAAATGTTTGAGCATCGATCAAGTGCAAACGGCATTGATAGATTTAAATCAAAGCGCCATCAATTCTATTCGGTAGACGTTTTCCTCCAAATGGATGTTTTATTTTAAAAGTAAATTGAAATTTCCTGGAACGCTAAATCGATTTTAGTTTTACTGTCTTTGATATTGTTAAACCATAATAGTCTTACCGTTAATTAGGTGTTGAAATAAAAAATATTATTCCAATACCTCGTAATTTTGTTGATAGTAACACCGGTAGATAACTCTATAAAGAAATTAATAGATTGTGTGAAAGGTGACATGATCTAGTTGACGACTGAGATGACTGAAGATGGACACAATTTTTTTTTCTGACTGAATGGCCACTGTTTGCCTTGAAGAGGCGTCTACAGATTCACCGGGTTTGAGGTGGCCGAGCGCATGGCGCTTAGCATAAACCTCGTTTATGAGTAACTAAACTCTAGGGATCCCTCAGTAACCTCGGCATGAGCCGTTACTTCGTTATTATTACCGGATTGGGAGGCCACAGAGCTCTTAGTTCACTTCGGTGGACGCTCCATGGAATGACTAGACACAAACCTGTTGCGGCCGGGAATAGGATAAAGTAGGGATGATGATGATGGTATTTATACGTGAATTTAACTGATATTCCATCAAATATCCGGTATATGCTTGCATATCAGTTTACACTGAATAATTTCATAATTGGAAAATTCAGCACATCGCAGACTCGTTTCGTTATGAATTCAACGTATATCTTTTACTATAGGAATTTCATACTTATTCCTTGGTATTATGATTGGGAATCGTTTGCTACTAACTGATTGAATATTCCAAAGCAAAGGTTATGCAGGTGTGTGTTTCAATCAATTTGTGGAATATTGAACATTGCATGCCTCTGTAATTTCACCTCATTGTTGATTTCTACTTTATCTGAATTTTACCATATAAATTTGATGTATTCATTTTTGTCTAGCTTTCGCCCGCAACTCCATCTGCGTCGAATTAAAACGAAAGTGAGTAGCCTATGTTCTTCCAGACTATCCTCTACATCTATACAAAATTTTATCGATAGCCGTTTAGCAGTTTAGGCTACTAACTCTGTCATCCATCCATCTAAACTTTCGCTTTTATAATATTAGTATGATTCATAATTATAATGGCCAAATTAATCTACTTATAGTAATATAAAAATGTTTATTTAATTAAAACAAAAATAATTTATAAAATATTTAATATCTTACATCTCCTTTGTATCTAAATACAATATTTACAAAACTTAAAATTTTATTCGCCTACTTAATTTTACTTGTCTACATCTAAAATTGTCACAATAATTATTTTGTCCCTACAAAATAACATTCATTAAAAAATTGTCGGAAACCATATTGGCAGTATAGAGGGCAGTGAAGTAGCTGATTTGAGTATTTATCGTAATTACGAAGCTTTTTATACTAAACTAAAACTAACATTCAATCCCAAACGCACACAATTTTGGAAGATTAATTTTCATGATCTATTTTTTAATGAAATTTTCGTTAAAAAATTTTTGGATATTTCATTAAATTATGTACTTTTGGGAGGAAATTAATATATACTATGGAAATATAATTTAGTAAAAAACATAATCTAATGATTCACCGATATTAAATTTACATTATATCACACAAACCTCAACAATTTTACGACCTTTTAATTTGTTAATATTATTTTATAGGTGGATATTTAAATGATATTGTAATTAAATATAAAATAACAAAAATAATCGGATCTTATTTAAATAAGACGTTACAAAATTGTTAAGTACATTAAATTATGGATTGCATTTTAATGGTTTTAATGATTTTAATGATTTTAATGGTTTTAATGATTTTAATGAAATTCTTACATCAATAAAATAATATTGAGAGAAATAAATCGAGCATTAGCAATTAAATTGGAACAATCACAAATGAAAAATATACAGATTATCGTGAGAAATGTTTAATTATTTTTCCTATCGTTTTGCCGGCGGCGCTTGCGTATGGTGGGTGCATCCTTCGACGTTTTCAGGCCAATCGCAGACGTTCTCATTGGGGTTGAAGACGAGGTTCTGAGGACACGGCATGTGGTGTTTGCGCTCGCCCTCGCACATGTAGTACATGGTGCAGTCCGCTTTGTCGGGGTGGTAGGAAATGTGACCATCCTCTTCTTCGCAAGTTACTTCATTTGCTGACAATAGAAACTTGTTACTTTAAAAAGTTGAGTTAAGCACCAATGTAATAGCTTGGGGTAAGGACTACCGATCTTGAGGTCGGGGGTTCGCCAGCCATTTAAATAATGTGAACCATATCCAAGCACAACCTTAGTTGAAATGGTTAAAGGAAATTTCAGTAAATTAACAAAAATCTATTAATATTTCTTTAAAAAAAAAGACATGAACGTTCAATTAACTCTTAAATGCGTGGATTTTCCAAATCTTTAAAAAAAAAACATTTTTGATGCTAGATCAGTAGTATAAAGGAAAAATAATA